GCCCGAGGGCAGCCCCTCTGCCCATATGATGTCATGATCCCTTGCTGGGAAGGTCCCTTTTCCAGACTGGAGCCAGGTTACAGACCCAGAACCCACAGGTTGAAGGACAGGGAAAGGTTGGCCACACACCACACTGGGGTGCATGTTTGTGGGTGCTGAGCCCCTGTCCTTCCCTGACAGGATCCCAGCCCTTTGCTCAGGCACCTTCATGGGGGAAGGGGAGATACCCGCACATCTCAAGGATGGTTTGGCACAGGATTTGAGTCGAAATTAATACCCAGGGGGCACAGGGTCATCTTGGCCTCTTTGCTATAGTAGACTCCCAGGTCATAACCAGAGTTCTGGGCTCACGGTGGGTCACCTGTTGTCATTTACTGGGTTCTTGAAGGTATAAATAGTGCGAAATGTGTACATGCAGTTGGATGAATCTGTACTTTGTTTTCGTGGAGGGAAAGGGCAGTCAAAGCCTCTGGAAGTGACCCCTGCACCCACCAAGAGAGTTAACCCAAACCAGTCTCCAACCCTGGAGGAAGTAGCAGAGATGAGAACCACTTTGAAGACCTAGAGGGTGTAGAAGGTGGTCCCCACCATCGCCATCTGAGTCACCAGCCTGGAGCCTGCGGGGCCTGGATGCATTCTACAGGGTGACCCTGAGCCCCCACGAACACAAGCAAGTAGAAATCTGAGCTGCAGCCTCCTTTCTAGATCTGCTGTTTTGCAAAGCAGGATAATGTGTCCTGTCCCTCCAGGACATGACATTCAGCCGTCGATCTGGCAAATGTCCTTTTCCACCCCACCAGAAACGGTTTGCATTCCTGTGGGAGGAACAACAGTGTTCGCTCAGTCTCGCCCCAGGGCTGTGTTAACTCTCTTGTCCTCTGTCATAATGTAGCTCAGAGGACCGAACCATCTGGATACACTTCATACTGTCACATGGGCCCACTGTATCGGTGACATCATGCTAATCTGATTTGAAGGAACAAGAAGTGGCAAGTATGTTGGAGGCCTCGTTAAGGTGCGTGAGCTCTGCAGGACTGAGGAGCCCCCCACAGCAGCTTCTGTTTAGGAGTTGGGTGGTCTATAGTGTGCTGGGACATCGTCTGTGAAGGAAAGAACAGATTACTGCTTTCTGCACCTGCCACCACCAAGAAGGAAGCAGTAGAATCCCTGGAGGCCTCTTGGGGTTCTGAGGCTCACTTATCCCACAGGTGAGCCTCCTGAGTGACACACATGTACTAAGTGACACAGAGGCTGCCATCTTTGATTGGGTCCCAGAGCAGGAAAAGACCTGTGGAAATGCCAAGTATGGTACCAACAGCCCTTGGGACACACACATGGGCAGATCTTATGCCTGTGGTACTAGAGGTGTTTATGGTGGGAAAGATGCTATGTGGAGTTTATGATCAAGCCCAATAGGATCATCACAGTGTAGACACTAAGGTTCTGGAGCAAGGCCCTGCCGTCTACGGAGGAGAATCGAATATCACGTATGCAACCGCTCCTGGCTTGCTGCTGGGCTCTGGTGGAGGCAGAGGGCCTGACTGGGGACATTAGCTGACCCCACAGCCAGAACTGACCAGCAGGAGCTGGATTCTCTCTGACCCACGACAGCATAAGGTCATGCCTACCCAGCAGCAATCCACCAGCACAGAGAAATGGTCTACCTAGATCAGGAACAGTCACAGCCAGAAGTACGCTGCAGGAGCAGGATTCTGCTGCACTTAACCTGAGAACTCTCACAAGGGAGAGGTTTGCGGGACAAAGTAGAGCCCATCTCTGATTCTGGCCCCGAAGGCAGAGATGAGAGGAAACCTTCCTAAAGAATAGAGCTTCAGAGAAGCTGTTCCCAAACTGGGGGGACTTACTGTCTGCTGCAGGTGGACCTGGGCTGCTCCAGGGCCATGGTGGATGCTGTGGTGGGTTGCTCACACCCCATTCGGGACAGAGGCACTTGCTCCTCCAGCTGCCGGAAGTGTTGTGTGCTCTCTGCCCATAACCACGTCCCTCTCTAGAAATTGCCCTCTGCCGAAGGAAGCTGCCTCACCCAAGATCATCCATCGTCCCCAGGCCTGCATCCCTTGGCTGGAAAATGTGGGAGAATAGACGTGGTCTCCACGCCTCCGCTTGGGACATCTCCAAGTGACCAACTCTCAGAGCTTCCCATGGTGGTGGCTGAGGCCTCTGTTAAGCTTCTCCCTGCACCTGGTTCTGTGTCTGGCTTCCCCACATGTGCTGCTGCAGGTAAATTTCAGAGTCTATTTCCCAGAGAACTTGACCTAAGATACCACAGGAAGGGCATTGAGTTTTGTGTGTTTGTCTTATATCGAGTCCTTGCACAAAATTGCGAATTGTAATGTTTTTTGTAGTGTCTTGAGTGTTCTAAGTGTATGATACTATCCTCCAATAAGGATAATTTTGCCTCTTTGTTTCCACAGATATGCTGCATATTTTAATTTCTTGACTTGTTTCATTAGGTAGAATTGCCAAACAAATTGTCAGTAATAGCTGTAATAGTGAGAATTCTCATCTCTTTTCCTGATCTGAATAGGTGCAGATTTTTGAAGTGGTCTTTATCATATCTAGGTAATTTTTTTCTTGTCTTACACAGTTTTTTTTGAATGAATGGCCATTCAGTTGTATGAAATGCCTTTTAGGTATCTCTCGACAAAAACCCTTTGGGTTTTTCTCCTTTATTTGTTGGTGTAACAAATTGTTGATAGATTTCATAAAGCTCAGCTGTTCTTGCTTTTGTAATAAATGCTACTAGTTCGTGTTTTTGATTATCCTCTACATTGGATTGTATTCAACATGCCAATATTTTAAAATTTCTTGCTACTTTCTTTGCCTTACTCTCCTAGTGAGGCTTTAGCATTAATGTAATGCTGACTTTTAAAAAATTAATTTTGGAGTTTTCTGTATTTTTTTTAATAGATCAGAGTTATTTCAATAGAAAGGGAATTCCCTGACTTTTGAAGGTTAAATAGAACTCATCTTTAAAAATACCAGGGTCTTGTGCCTTTTAAGATGGTAGAAATTTAATAATCTTTCCAGCTTATTCTATAGTTTTCCTGTTAGCCACTTCCTTCTTCACTGGCATGGTCTTTTTAGTTTTGGCAAAACCCTCAGGTCTAACACCTCCAGATATGTTCAAACTCATCAACCCACTGGATAATGGATGGATGGGATGTCCACTCTTGCCCAAGGATGTGTATGGGTGTGTGGATGCTGAATTTCCTAAGTGGGCTTCCTTTAGTTGAATTAGGGGCCTCAATAGTAGCAGAAACTCCAAGTGAATTATCCAAGAAAAGGGTTGCTGTCACAGACCCATGGGTGGTCTTCAGTGTGTGCTTTGAAGTGCCTACAAACTGAAGGTGCAACTTACAGGAGACTTATTACGAATGGCAGCAAGCATAAGAAAGGATGTTCAAGCTCATGATAAGGAGAATCCAGGTTTACAATCAATGAGATGCTGTTTTCCATGCAAGACTGATGGAATTTTAAAACAATGGATATTTCTCAGTTTTGGAGAAGGTGTCTGTGACATGGATATGAGAGTGAATTTGTGCAACATGTTTAGAGACCGGTTTGGCAAATTTTGTCAACACTTAGCATGTGCATCAACCTATGACGTAGCAATTCCTCTTCTAAGAATTTCCTTTATAAGAAATACCTGCACAAGGGCACAAACATATATGCATAAGGATATTCACTCGACAGTATTTGGAATAGCAAATATTGAAGAATTAAACATCCATTCAAAGAGGAATCGTTAAGCAATGGTGGAATCATCATTATTATGGAGCGTTATGCTGTTATTAAGCAGAATAAAATAGATCTGAATGTGCAGGCAGGGAATAACATCCATGATGTATGTTGAATACAAGAATCAACCTGCAGGATGGTATGTATAGTAGGAAGCATTTGTGTAAATTGTGTGTGTGTGTGCGTGTGTGTTTAGGCGCTTAGCAAAATGTCTAGAAATGTGGTTACCCCTGATAGTGTGGCAGGGTGGTGTGGGGGGAATGAGAAGGACACTTTATCTTTTTACTTAATTTATATCTGTACTGCTTGACTTAAAAAAAAGGCATGTATTACTTTGGCTTGCAGGTTTTTTAGTGCTTGCAACAAAAATGCTGATGTAAATTTAAGCCAGTTGGCAATTTCTTTTAGAAGGAGCAATGCTAGAGTTTCCTCACTGGGAATTGGACCAAACGTGACTTAGTCTTTAAGGGAACTAGACAAGGCATTAATTCTATTAATTAATGCATCAGCAGATTCCATCTCAGCAAAGGCTGTCTTAATGAGGTGCTCGGGGCATCCATTATTTATCCCACAAATATCAACTCAGGGCCCTACTTGTGTCAGGCAGTGTAACAGATGTCCCCTCTGAGGGTGCGGTGCTGGGGAGAAGCGCAAATAGCTCACAGACTGCTCCCTCCTCCCTGCGCCCACCCCCATCTCTCCTCAGATGACCTCCGCCTTCCCGCTGACCCCAACTCCTCCGCTCTCTGTCTTTTCTCCCCAACGCCTCGCACTCCAGAGCCCCGCAAAATAATCAGTCCAGCCCGGACTGCAACCTCACTCCCGCCCAGCACCGTGGGCCTCCTGGACACGTCCCTCCTGGACCTCTCGGCCTCCTTTCCTTCAGGCTCGTGGGGGCTGGGGCAGAGGCCGGCTGGGTGGAGCGACACGGGTCGCTCCTGGTACCGTTAATGGCAGAGGCGGCTCTCCATGCGCCGACCTAGCCACACTCCCGGTCCCGCTTGCGTTTCCATTCCGCGCCCCCACGGTGCATCCCTTCCCCAGCGCACAGCCCGCGCCCCGGCCCGCCCTCCGGGAGCTGTCCGCGGTGCTGACCGCAGGCGCCGCCCGCGCTCGGCCGCTGCGCACGCGTCCCGGGCGGGGCGCGCAGGACCCGCCGGCGCCGCCACTGCGCAGCCTCCCGCGCGGCCCTGCTCGCCCGCGCCCCGCGCCCCTGCTCGCCCGCGCCCCTGCTCGCCCGCGCCCCGCGCCCCGCGCCGCCTGCCCGGCCCCTTCCTCGGCGCGCCCGGGCCGGCCATGGCGCTCAACAACTTCCTCTTCGCGCAGTGCGTCTGCTACTTCCTGGCCTTCCTCTTCAGCTTCGTGGTGGTGGTGCCGCTGTCCGAGAACGGCCACGACTTCCGCGGCCGCTGCCTGCTCTTCACCGAGGGCATGTGGCTGAGCGCCAACCTGACGGTGCAGGAGCGCGAGCGCTTCACGGTGCAGGAGTGGGGCCCGCCGGCCGCCTGCCGCTTCAGCCTGCTCGCCAGCCTCCTCTCGCTGCTGCTCGCCGCCGCGCACGCCTGGCGCACGCTCTTCTTCCTCTGCAAGGGACACGAGGGGTAAGTGGGGGCCTGGCGGCCGCCCTGCCCCGTCAGACGCAGCCCTCAGGCCGGCACGGCGCCCCTCCCGAGCCCGCAGCGCCCCAGGCCGTCCTCCCCACGGAGGAGCATGAGGCCCACCCTCTTCCCGGGGTGGGGGTGGGGGGGCGCTCAGAGGCCCAAAATATCAGCCCGTGGTGCTCACCGCCTCCATGCAAACTGCCCTTTGTCCACGCAGAACCCGCGGACCACGAGGGTCTCCCGCGCTCTGCACAAGGCCAGTACTTCCCACCCCAAGCGCGCATCACCTCCCGCTTTGGGCATTTACCACCCCCGCCCCTGGGAGTCAAATATTGCACTGTCATCTCTGAGCGGACCTGGGCCCTCCCTGGCTTGCCGGCTCAGGCTCAGGCCTCAGTGCTGCGGACAGCCCCTAGCGGGTCTGGGCCCCCGCACTCCTCCAGGTGCGGGGGAGGGATCAGGCCAGGCAGGTGGCTGACAGGGCAAACTGGGGAGTCCTCTCCTCATCCCCACTCCCATCCTCCTGGGAAGGATGATGATGGTGGGGCAAAGGCCAGAGGGAACCTCTCTAGGCCCACGGGCTTGGCTGGGAATGCAAGACAGGCCTCCCTGCCTCCTGGTCTCTGTGTTCCTCTTCACCTTTCCCCACCCTGGCACAATTCTGTGAGAGAGGGATGTGGTTCACCCGGGGTCCTCAGCTTGTAGCCTTCCATGCGCCTTTACCCCTGGGACCTTCTGTGGGAAGGAGGGGGCCTGTGGCAGGGCAGGATGGCCCCCTGACCGGCCTGGGCTCACCGTAGGCTGAGCCCCAGCCCCACAGCACCTGGAGGCCCCCAGGCTGACACGAGGCTTCCTGCAGACTCTCAATCCAGAACCTTGGTGTAGTGTGCTGAACTGTGCCCACGACAACACGTGTCCGAGGCTGCACCCCAGGAAAGGTGTGTGTGACCTTAACTGGAGATGGGGTCTTTGCAGGTGTCATTCAGCTAAAGATCTCAGGATGAGGTCATCCTGGATTTAGGGTGGGCCCTAAATCCAATGACTGGTGTCTTTATAAGAAGAGGGGAAGAAACGGAGAGAGGAGAGGCTGCGTGAAGACAGAGACTGTGGTAAAAGTGACAAAGCCGCTCCTGGCCCTTGCTGGCCTCACATCCACAGGGGAAATCCGGCCTTCTCCCAAACCCCGCCCCACTCATGCCCCCATCCATTATTTGTTGGTATTTTTTAGGGGGCTTTTCTCTTCTTTTGGGGACCTGAGAGATAAGCTATTGCTCTGAGGTCTCAGTGGGTTGGAGGGTCAGGTGGGGACCCCTGAGAGCCCTCAGCTTGGCTTGGGCATGGACAGAGGGGATTAACAGGGTTGGCAGGGTGAAGAGGACCGGAACAACCCAGCGTGGGGACTGAAACACCCAGAGGGGGTGAAGTCCAGCAACGCACGTGTATGAGTTTCCGGGGCTTCTCTCACAAAGTGCCACAAACAATTTATTCTGCCACAGTCCTGGAGGCCAGAAGTTGGAGATGAAGGTGTTGGCAGGGTGGGTTCCCTTGGGAGGGAGAATCCTTTCTAGGCTTGCTCCTGGCAGCTGCCTGCAACCCTTGACATTCCTTGGCTTGGGGCTTTGTCACTCTGTCCTGGGGTGCAGCCTCGGACACGTGTTGTCATGGGCACAGTTCAGCACACTACACCAAGGTTCTGGATTGAGAGTCTGCAGGAAGCCACATGTCAGCCCGGGGGCCTCCAGGTGCTGTGGGGCTGGGGCTCAGCCTACGGTCAGCCCAGGCTGGTCAGGGGGCCATCCTGCCCTGCCACAGACCTCCTCCTTCCCACAACGATGGCTGGTGTCCCCAGGAGGTGTTTGAGATGTCATCACGTTGCATGCACATTGTCAAGTCTGGTCAGTGTCTGTGCAGATTGGGGCAGGGAAGCATCTCCAAATATGAGACAAGGTCTGAGGAAAAGGAGGGACAGTCAGCAGCATAGGGTAGCTGAGGTCTCTTCGGTCTGGGAAGCTGAGGGCAGTGGGCACAGGCTGTGCGGGAGCCATGGTTTGGCCATCAGCTCATGCCCATCATTCCACCTTGTCCCTATAGGACAAGTCTCCTCAAGAGACCACATCTTACAGCCTTAAGATGAGAGGACAGAAACCACTATTGCTGACCTCCCCAGATTTGCTGCCCAATTTGTGCGAAATGACCAGGACTCCTTTCTCGAAGGCTCTGGGCCTCTCAGCTCTCACTGCTCTGCTCCCAGTCTCTAGGGGTCTCTTGGGGCTCCGGGATCCCGCATCGCTGAGCCACGGAGGCCGAGCCCTACCCAGAGAGCTGCTTCCTGGTCCTCACCTGCTAGACCCTGAACACCCCAAGGCCAGTTGTCTTATCGGGACAAGGCGCCCTCGGCAGCCAGCCAGCTGTGCCATCTGTCAATCTTGGTCTGGTGGTAGGACTGGGCCAGAGCTCCCCTGGATAGCCGGGGTGACCCACCATCTGAGGGGACCCTGGGCTGGATGAACCCAAGGCAGGCGTGCACTTCATTTCTCTCTGCGTGCGCAGGGCTGAGCTTGGGAGTCACAAATTAGTGTTTGTCGAAGGAAGACAGAAAAATGCCTGCATGTGGGGTCTGCTGCCTCACAGCCCACCCCCGCCGACTGCCCCCCGCTCCCAGCTCAGCAGCTGGGCAGGCCTCGTGGAGCAGACAAGCAAGTGCTGGGTCAGTGGGGCTCGGGACCGACAGGAGGCTCAGAAGGACTGTTAGAGCGAGCTTGAGGGACGGCGAGGGCCCTCAGGGTGTCCAGCCCATCAGGGACATGCTGTCCAACTTGGAGTTCTAGAGGGCCCTACCCACTAATTCTCTTGCGTCGGGCTGCAGAGACCAGCCAGGAGCCCAGCCAAGAGCGAGGGCAGAGCCCGACTCTTTGGTCTGTGTGACGGGCTCCCGGCTGGGTCCCCAGCGCCTGGGTCAGACCCTGTCTGTGGCTCTAGCTCCCTCCAGGGTGTGTCCCTGGGCAAAGTGGGGCCCGGACAGCTTGTGCCCAGCTGTGGACAGGGCGAAAGGAATGGGTGTGTGACTCGGGGGCGCCTGTGGCTTCCTAGGGTGCTTCTGGCTGGGGGCGCATGGGCGACCTGAGGGTGGGTCACAGGCCTGAGTGTGCTGAGCCCTTGGAGTGTGCAGGTGGTCGCAGTTTGCGGTTGACAGGTTTGTGATTGACGGCTGGGCAGCGCCGGGTCAAAACAACCCATCTGTCTGCCCACACGTGTCCCGCAGCCTACAAATCGCTCCCAGGGCTTCCCGGGATAGCGGTCACCATGGAGACGGCACATCCAGGCCGGCACCCTGAGAGGCAGCGAGAAGGATGGAGTTAACCCTGTGTGTGCCGGCCTTCCTGGTTGTTTGGCCGCTGCCCTGTGGGTCTTTGGGGAGCGGGGAGGGGGTTGGCATTGGGGACTCTGGGGTCCGGGCCCAGTGAGGCTCTGAACACTCCCAATTCTTCAAAACTCTGTGAAGCCCAGGCAGGTTCCATGGAAACGGACCAGAAATGGACTTGGGGAATAGGAGGAGGCTGTTGGGGGGATGGGATGGGGACGCCATGTTCCTGTCATGGGAGGAGAACCCCAAATCCAGGATGCAGCTGGAGCCTGCAGACAGTCGGGTCTCCTGGCTATGGGAGGTTGTGTTGTAAACCCCGCTGAGGGCAGGAGGGGCAGGTGTCGGGATGGGGAGGGGGCGTGTGTCTCAGGGGGTTCCCCGAGGGGGCTTCTGGCCACACATGGAACAGCAAGCTGCTGGTGTGCCTCTCTAGAATTAAGTACAGAACGTGGGGCATGCCGCCCGCTCCCATGAGAGGGGGCAGGAGTTGAGGGTGGTGGTTGCCCAGTCAGCATGTCCTCTGCACCCTGGGCATCCTTCCTCCCTCTAAGAGGGCCTCCTGGGGGCAGCAGCTGCTCGTCCAGGATGCTGGGCACCTGCTGGGCAGGGTGCCTGGTGGGACAGCGGTGTTGGCAGATGGAGGGCACCCAGGGAGCCTCTGTCCCGGTGATCTGGCCTTCTGTGCTGAGGGCAGGCAGCTTCTTTGCTTTGCCTGTGGAAGCTCCGTCCTGGTCCCCCTGGGACCACCCCGTTCTCCTCAGCTGGAGTGGGGGGGCATCCAAAGTCAGGGTGTAGGCTCTGGGTAACCTCTGCTTCCCTTAGAGCATTAGCTCCAGGGAGTGGACTCCCCTGCACACTGCCTAGCCCCACGCTGATTGCAGGGGGCACAGCTGGCCCCCAGGCCCAGTCTCCAGGTATCTGGTTGCTGACCCTGCCCCCACGCTTCCTGCCCCACCCACGCTTCATCTCCTGTGGCCACAGGCCCAGCCCCATGCAGCACACAGCTCCGGCCCAGCAGGTCAGGGTTCCAGCGATGGGTAGAGGCCTGTCCTGGGGAGGGAGCAGCACCCCTGCGGTTATCGCTGTCTGTCCCTTGCCCACATAAGCTCCCTCAGTTTCCACAGTGACCCTGTGGGGGGCTCCTGCTCCCCAATTTACAGAGGGAGAAATTGAGGCCCAGAGGGCAACTTGCTGAAGGTCACGCAGCTGGGAAAGAGGCAGGACAGATTTGACAGGCTGCTCTGTCTGGTGACAACCTCGGAGGTGGGGTGGGCCATCACGTACCCCTCTTTATGACTGTAGGCCCCGACCTCTGATTCAGAGTGCCCAGGGCCAGGTGGATTTTGCCGTCAGGATCCCTGCTGGAATCGGATGGCTCACCCAAGTGAGGATAACCCGAGGAGGGCGATTGGCAGAGACGAGGATGTGGGCCAGGTGTGGGCCCTGCAACGGCCCTGTCACCTCCTCTGGTCACGGGGACCATGTAGGGGAGGCTTGGGTGGAAGTGGCCGCCTGGAGGGGCTGCTGACCTTTGGTAGAGGGACAGCTGACCGGGGGCATCCCCAGCAGGGGCCTGGAAGGAGAATTTCCACTGCCAGTCCCTTGCCGGGTCCGCACTGGTTGAGCCCAGCCAGGAGCCCAGGAGAGGGGTCACTGCCATGGTCTCCTTGGGCCGGCCCCTTGGGCGGAGGATGGAGGAGCCCCCAGTGGGGCCATGTCTGTGCAGACCCGGAGCGAGCTCCGTCCTCGTGGCCCTGCCTCCTGTGCCCCGCCCCCCGTCACAGCTGGGCCTTTTAGGCTTCAGTGGACAGATGCGAGCAGGGTGACTCCGCAAGCCCCTGATGCAGGTCCGGGCCAGCAGTGTTGATGACCTTGAGGGCACAGGGCCCCAGGGCAGCTGAGTGGGGGAATGGCCGGGGAAGAGCGCGGATGCGCTGGAAGCCAGCACCCCTGGGGTCAGATCTCGGCTCTGCCTCCCCTCTGCAAGGCCTGGCTGACAAGTGCTCTCCCTCCAGGCCTCCGGGAGGCTGGGATGGGACTTCGGGGTGAGGGGCAGTGAGGGAGGCGAAAGTGGCCCTGGTGGCCCTGCATGGCCCCCTTGCCCCAGCCGGGCCCAGCCCCCGCTGTCCCCTGGCACCAACATCCCAGCGGTGCGCACGGTGACCGTCCTCTTTTGTCCTTTGCCGAAGCTCCTTCCTCTACGCCTTCCTGAACCTCCTGGTCAGCGCCTCTGTGGTCTTCCTCGTCTTCATCGCCAGCACCATCGTGAGCGTGGGCTTCACCATGTGGTGTGATGCCATCACGGAGAAGGGCACGGTGCCCCACAGGTGGGCCTGCGCCCCGCCCCACCCCCGCTGCCCCCTGGCGACGTCCTGGGGCACGAATCCCATTCCGAGCCCAGCCCGAGGTTTTGCTCATCCTGCCTGGGGCTCCCACCTGTGCACACCTGACCAGCGCCTTCCCCTGGACCTGCCCCCTTGACCTCAGTGCCCCCTTCACCTGGGAGTAGGGCCCTGGATCCGGGCTGGGGGACGGAGGCCCAGTGTGCTCTGGGTCCTGGAGGCCTGATATGACCGCACGGCAAGGCCCGGGAGATCCCACCCTGTGCTGCTTTGGAGGTGGGCTGCGGAGTTCTGAGCTGAGTCGGCTCCTGGAGGGTTTGGAAGACGGCGATAGGGATGGGGAGGAGCGCGAGCAGAAGCTTTTGGTTGGAGGGGTCAGGGATGAGGCCTTTGGGGACCGGAGAGCTGCCTCGCCGTTTGGGGGTGCTGCGTGTCACTCCCTGTGCTCCGTGTCCCAGCGTCACCTGCCACCCTGTGTCTTGCTGTTTCAGCTGTGAAGAGCTCCAGGACATCAATTTGGAGCTGAGCGTGGACAACTCTGCCTTCTATGACCAGTTTGCCATCGCCCAGGTAGGCAGAGGGGCTAGATAGGCGGGGCTGTTCTGGTAGGAGGGGCGCTGCCAGGTAGGCGGGGCTGCCCGGGTAGGCGTGGTCGTTCTGGTGGGAGGGGCTGCCAGCAGGCGGGGCTGCCCAGGTAGGCGTGGTCGTTCTGGTGGGAGGGGCTGCCAGGTAGGAGGCGCTGCCCCCCCCCCCCCAGGCGGGGCTGTTCTGGTAGGAAGGGAGCTGTCCAGGTGGGAGGGCTTTTCTGGTGGGAGGGGCTGCCAGCTAGACCGGGAAGCATGCATTGTTGGGGAGGGATCCATTCACTGCTGAACGTTCACTGAGTGCACAGCCTGCCTCCCAAAGCCCTCATCCAGGGGAGGTTGAGGATGGTGCCAGGCAGAGGAGATACAGCTGAGTGAGTGGTATTCCTGGGTTTCGGAGACTTAGTGGGGGCTCTTGCAGGTGGATGTGGAGAGGGGTGAGGCATGGGGCATCCTAGGAGGAGGGGACAGGTGAGCTAACTGCAGACGTGAGGTCCAGGGGCTGAGGGAGTGGCTCTGTCCCACGTGGAAAGGACACTAGGCATCTGATCCTGGGTCTGCAGCCAAGGCAGGGAGCTTGGACTCCTGGCACCAAGTGGGCACGCTCTGGTAAATGCTGGAGGGCTCGCGGTTATTCCCTGGCCAGGGGAAACTGATGCGGTGTCTGAGGGAGGGTGTGGGGGGATCCAGCCTGTGAATTTGGAGGAGCCCACCCCCAACTGCTTTGGGGGGACAGCTCCTCTCCCTGCCCTGCCTTTGTGTGAGCTTTGTTCCCTGCCCTCCAGGTGCATCTCTGGGGACCCCGTTTGCTGGGATGCAGGCGTGTTAGGATTTGTTAGTGGTCAGTAAGGGCTGTTTCCCAAAATCTGCGTCTGTGTCCAGGCAGATGTCACTGGTGAGGGGTACCCAGGTGGGGCTGGCTCCTTCCAGCACTGAACAGGGCTTGCTGGCATCCAGGTCCATTTCTGGACCCCAGGCCCGCCTCTCAGGGCTCACGTTGGCCAGTGACCTGTCTGAGGACTCTTCCGACAGAGAGGAGCCCTCTAGGGGCTGGATATCCGGTGGGTCTGAAGGTTCTTTGCCGAGATGAGCTGAAACTGCCAGAGACAGCTTCACGAAAATTCAGTGGAAAATGCTTCAGCCCTAATTTGCGCCAATTAGATTACAAAGGTGTGAGCTGAGTCTGGTGATAAATAACCCCCAATGAGAATCTGTTTAATGTGGCTCGGGCCTGGTTCTGATTAAATTGTTTCTCCTTCAGCTGTTTGGTAACGGCAGCTAAAGGTCAGTTTGTTCCAGTGGCTGGAGGAGGCTGTGTTATAGACGGGCTCTCCGTGGAGCTGGGCGGGCCTGCCTGCCTGGGGGTGAGGGTGGTCAGAGTCCCCGAAAGCATTGCCCAGCTTGGGGTTCAGAGGCCTGGCCGCCACATACCAGGAAGGGATGGTTGTGTGAAGAAGGAGGCAAGGCGGGCCCCATGGTGGGCCCCATAGCTAGCCCCTGACCTGTCCCCGAAGTGGGTCCCACCTTTCCCGGGGGCAGGTGGGTGGGTGCACTGGGCAGTGGATGGTGGGTCTGGCTGGCCTCCTGACCTCGCCTCTGCCCTCTGTGTAGTTTGGCCTCTGGGCCTCGTGGCTGGCCTGGCTGGCCATCACCATCCTGGCTTTCCTGAAAGTCTACCACAACTACCGCCAGGAGGACCTGCTGGACAACCTGGTCCACGAGAAGGAGCTGCTCCTGGCCAGGCCGACCCCCCGGGCCTCCTTCCAGGAGGAGAAGAGCGCTGTCATCTAGGACGCCCCCCACCCCGCCCGGTGCTCATGGCCCGACCCAGGGGAGCAGCTGGGGACTCTGCCTTGCCCCGCCTGCCCCTCGCCTTGCATGTCTCCCTTCGGCACTGTGTGATGTGAGTGACCCTGCTCACCCAAGCACCCCATTCCCACCTTGAGTGTGGCAGTTGACTAGGGTGGGCGTCAGCCCTCAGACAGGGACACACAGAGACTGCGGGACCCCCTCCGGGCCTCACGCACACGCAACACGCCTGTCCCAGGGGCACTGGCGGGCGAGCCTAGGTGGGGGGCGGTCCACCCTCTTGGACGCCTCTGGCCATAGGGCTTGCAGGTCCTGCCTCGGCTGGACGCTGTCTCCACCTGCTTGCCCAGGTGTGATTCTGTACCCAATCCTGTGGCAGCAGCCCGTGTCCCCAGAGTGACCCCAACCCACGATGGCCACTCGTCACTCTTGTCCCTTGTTCCTGAGCAGTGTGTGGGGCCTGGGAGCAGGGGGCCGACGGCAGGAAGGAGCTGCCCTGCCCTGTGTGGCCCGTCTTCTGGCCCCGCGCTTCCCCCACCCTGCCGCAGGGCTGAGTTCCCTGTGCTCTGGCTCTGTGGCCCCCGGTGGCCAGGCGGGTCTCAGCATCCAAAGCGCAGGGCCAGTGGTGTTGCCTGCAGTCAGGTGGTGGCTGTGCGGGCGTCCTGGCAAGTGGCTGTGGTGTCAGAGCTGGGAGCCGGCGCCTGGTGCCCCAGGACTGGCTGGGAGGGCCCCCCATGGCCCCGCCTGGAGGGGCACGGTGTGGGGAGGTGGGACATGGGCTGGGGGGCATCCCACCTCCTATGGAGGGAGGGATGGGGCAGGTGCCGCTGCAGGTGCCTGCACGCATGTGAGTGCACGCGAGGGTGTGAAGGTGTGTGTGTGATATGAGTGTGTGCACACACATGGTCTGCATGGGGAGGGTGTGTGCGCGAGCTGTGTGTGAGCACGCATGTGCACAAGTGTGAGTGTGAACATGTGTGTGCACGAGAATATGGGTAAGTGCACGTGAGCGTGCATGTGTGTGAGTGTGCACTGGAAGGTGTGAGCAGAGATCAGAGCGGGGGAGGACACAGCAGCTCCTTGAGCATGCGTGTGCACAAGTGTGAGTGTGAACACGAGTGTGTGCACACACGTGGAAGTCTGCATGGGGAGGGTGTGTGAGCACGCGTGTGCACAAGTGTGAGTGTGAACATGCGTGTGCACGAGAATGTGGGTAAGTGCGCGTGAGCGAGCGTGTGTGTGTGAGTGTGCACTGGAAGGTGTGAGCAGAGATCAGAGCGGGGGGAGGACACAGCAGCTCCTTGGTACCTTCACCCACTGGGACGTCCCCAGCACCCCTGGCACCTCAGTGGAGGGGCTGCCTTCCCATCTGATGGCGTCCAAAGCACCGAGGCCCCCGAGGACACGACCCCATCCACACGGAGGCAGGAAGAGGATTTGGGGGTGGAAATGGGACCCTAGAGCCCAGTGATGAGCAACCTGGGGCTGCTTGGCTGTGGATGCCCCTCCTCACAGGGCTCCCCGGCTTCTGCAACAGTACACAGTCCCCCGAGTCCTGCGCAGGAGTGGGGCACCCCTTCCCCTGGGCTCAGTGAGAGCCCGTTTCCTGGGCTGACCCTCCAGGGAAGGAGAGACCCGGCTGCCCATGTCCATGCCTTGTGCTGCCAGAGGTCAGTTTGGTCTCCCACGTGGGGGGCACAGGGTCTCCAGAGGCCGTGGATCTGGGTCTGGATCGAGGTGCCGAGTAGGGCAGGGAGCCTGGGCCAGGGAGGGGGGCCCGCAGGTCACCTGTACAGATCCTGCTCAGGGGCGCCTGTCAGTGGGGGAGATCGAGGCCAGGTGGATGAGGGCCCCGGCATTGCAGAGGCGCTCTGGCCCCAGGGCCTGGCCGAGAACGCCAGGCAGCGCGGCTGGCCGGTCCCTGGGGGAGTTGTGTTGGCAGAACTGAGGCGCCCAGCAGATCTGCCCTCACCGGGCACTCGCGCACAGGCTGTGGGGACCCTCTCCGGCCCCGGAGAGTTCCGGTCTGTTGGCAGCAACCAGCCAGGCCCCGGGAAGGACGAGCAGGGTCAGGCCATGGACTCTGGAGCCTGAGGGTCCACGGCAGGCTTGGGTGTGCCCGTCGCAGCTGCCCCTCATGGGTTCCTGGGAGCCGGTGTGGGGCACCCCTCGCTCAGGCTGGCAGAGACGTGTGTCCACATGCACCTCTGAGGGTCACCTGCAGAGTGGGGCTCGTCCCTGGCACGGACCTGTCTCAGACCGGGGGTACCTCCAGATGTCTGTGCCCGGGGGCTTCCCGGAGAGGGTAGTGGGACCGCGCTGTGTGCCCTGCAGGGGGCGGGGGGCGAGGGCGCCCCGGGGCGGACTGGAAGGGCAGGGGGTGGCCCCAGGCTTCCTGAGACGGGACCACAGGATCTCTTCTGCCTGGTGCCTTGCTTCTCCCAGCTGCTGTTGGATAATGCGTCTTTGTTTTCATTCTACTTCTGACGAAATTGAAAGTGATGATTCTTCCACTTAAGTGTATCTATTTCTCAAAGTCAAAATAAACACAGAGGTCCTGAGCCTTGGGTGTGGTTGCTGGGCCGCCTGTCCCCGCCCTGCCCTCCTCTGCCTTCGGCTTCCTGGCTCCTGGGTTTCGTCTGCGGCTAAGATTTAGAAACCTGCCCGTGTTCATCCCTGTAGCTTCAGAAACTGGCTGGGATTAGGGCTGGGCCTTCCCGTGGCTGTGCCCCCTCGTGCGCGCCTGTTCCGGGGGGCTCCGTTCTCACCACGGCACCCCCAGGTGTTAGGACTGACGTCTCCGGGTCGTGGCGCACCTGCCGAGCAGCGTCTTCCCCGAAGCCATGGCTCATGGTCTGCGGACCCTCCAGAGCCGGGTGTCTTTGCAGAGACCGGCCGGCCCTTGGCTGAGAGCCCTGGTGGCAGGGCTTCCCCCAGACGGGACCGGGACTGGACTGGGCTGAGCCCGAGGACTGTGCCTGCCCCACGGGTTTGGGCATGAGACCCAACCTCTCTGAGCCTCAGTTTCCCCGCCTGGAGTATGGGGCAGTAACCTGCCTGTCTTCTTCAGGGGTGGGGGTGAGATGAGATGGGGTCCCCGCCGGGACCCCCTGGAGGCTACCGCTCCCAGAGACAGGCCCCTCCTCTCCACTGGGCTCCCCGCTCTGGGCTCCCCAAACCCAAATCCTGGAAAGCACCACCCTAGCCCCTGAGGCCTAGAAGGGAAGGCTCCCCTGTGCCCCCACCTCTGCTTTAGCCGAGGAAATTGGTCCCCATATCCCTCCTTTGGGTAAAAATCCCCAGACTAATAAAAGGGGTGGCAGTGTGGTTTAATAGAAACTCAGTGTGTCCCCGCTTAGGCAGTGGGGATGGGCAGTCAGGGCATAACCTTGGGACAGCATAGCACTGGCCGTCCCGTGGACACTTGTCTGAAGGTGGCTGGGGGAGATGGTGTCTTCCTGGCAGTCCCTCCTGGCATCTGCCCATGGGCCTCCCTGCTTTGTTCAGGCATCCCCCTCCATGCAGGGTCTGGGGGGGCCCTGGAGTTTGTTGCCACGTCTCCCCATGGCCTCGCAACGCCCGCGGTAGCTCGCTGTCTGCACACAGTCATGGGACACACAGGCCCTGTGGCTGGTGCACGGCGCAGCCTGGGGTCCCAGCACGGGCGGCTGTGTTCTGAAGGTGTTGGGGTCCGGGCGGAGCGAGCTCCCTCTCAGCCATTCCCAGGTGGACAGCTGAGGAGGGGGGCAGCACGTATGTCCCCCCGGGGCACGAGAGGGTCCCTGAGGCCTTGGGGCCCCGGGGAGCAGTCAGACCTGGGCTCAGAGGTTGGCATCCCAACACCACAAACAAGGGGAGATGCCAGGCCCCCCACCCCGTGTGCAGTTTCAGGAGGGAGGACCCCACCCCGACAGCCAGACCCGCCTGTCTCAACGGGGTTTCAGAGTCCAGGCCCTGCGAGCCTGAAGTAGCAAAGGCCAGTTTCACCCCGAGGGGCCCCATGGACACAGGGCCGGTGTCCCTGTCTTCAGGGGGCTCCGCGTGGCCACATCCAGGCCTGGCCCAAGGGTACGGAGAGTTCCCACCGGGGTGAGGGAGGGCCTGGGGGGCTCTCAGGGCCGAGGCCTGTGTGGAATTCTCTTTCTAATAAAACCTCACGGTGGACCCTAACATGTGCGGCAAGAGGGGCCCTGTTGCAGGCGGCGGGCTCGGCTGGAAGCCCTCCCACCTGACCTGGGGCTCCCCCGCTGCTGCCCTGCACGGCCAGCCGGGGCCCCAGGCGTGGAGGGGAGCGTCCGGCCAGCCTCCATCAGCGCTGCAGGAGGCCCCGCCAGCAGGTGAGGGCCGTATGCCTCAGGCGCAGGGCGAGCACCAGGAGCCGGGCCCGGAGGTCCTCAAGGGCCAGCGCCACGGGCTTGGCTCGGCCGTAGACCAGGCCCAGCACGAGCAGTAGCAGGATGCACACGGACAGCTGCAGGAGCAGGGAGCCGCCTCGGGGCCCGGGCCAGCTGGGCGCTGGGGGCGGAGCGGGACCGGATGAACCCCTGCCCGCAGGCCCAGCCCCACCATGAGGACCCTGTGGGGCTCCCTCCTCCCTGCGGGGCTGGTGGGGAGGCCGCAGACAGAGGGAGGCTCACCCCGAGGCTGGGCTCCTTCGGAGTGGGTCCTTGGGGTGCCCCCCATGGTCCCCATGGGGCGTGGGGCACCCGCTGCCTGCCTGGGGCCTCTGCCAGTGTTGGGTGGCTTCCTTGTGAAAGGGCCTCCCATCGGCTGTGCCCCGGCACCCTCCCTTGGGGAAGGAGTAAGGGGGAGTGACCGCAGAGGGGAGCTGCTGGCCATGCTGTGTGTCAGGGACCCAGGCTGAGGGAGTGGCCTTGCCGGGGCGCGGGGGGGCCCTGCTGGAGCCACTGGGGGTGGGGGTGTGCGGCAGGGGTGGCCTGGGCACGGCATGTGGGGGTGGGGGCGAGCGGTCAGACTCACCCCTGGTGGTGGTGGTGGTGGTGGTGGGCTCCCTGCGGGCGATGTCTGGGAAGGAGAACCGAGGGTGGGCTTGGGCAGGGAGGGCCCCCTGCCTGGGGGCTCACGCTGCCTCAGCCTGCCCCGTGCCCTCAGGACCTCGCATCTCACGCCCACCCCGCAAAGCACCCTGAGACGGGCGAGTCAGATGCAGCTACCCCGTTTCACAAGTGGGAGATCCACGCCCCCCCTGGCCAGCCAGCGGCCCCAGCACCACCTAGGGGTCCCCCCTGCCTCACGGCTTCAGGCTCAGGCTGCCAGAACTTGGGGAGCCCAAGAGGCTGGGTGCTGCTCTCAGAGCCTGTGGCAGTGTGGATGTGGTGACCCCGTGGTGGCTTGGGGGAGGGGCCTGCCGGGGGTCCCTGGGCAGGGCCCTAGGGGCTGGCACTGGGAGAGGGCCGGGCAGGACCCTCGCTCCTGCCCATCTCCACAGGGCCCTGGGGGGCCCCAGGCCACCCCCTGGACTGCCTGGGCCTTGATTCCCGGCCCGCTGAGTGTCTGTCTCCAGGGCGGCTGGGAAGCTCCTGGGGGAGTGCAGAGCTGTGCTTGTGGGCGAGCGCTGGACCCGGAAGGGACGGGTGCGAAGAGCAGGTGTGAGGAGCCTAGCGAGCGGCATGGGCCTCAGGAGAGGGGTTGAGGCCTGGACTGGACGTTTAGGGCGGGCCATCCAGGGAGGAGCTAACACGTGCTGGGTGGGAGTTTTACCCATCACTCAGCAGGTCTCAGGAAGTACCTTGCCTGGGGGCTGTGGTGGGCAGGATCTAAGATGCCCCCGTGATTCCTACCCCTCTAGTGTCATCCCCTCCCCTTAGTGTGGGGCTGTGACTTCTACCCAACAGAAGAAGGTAACACGGGAGGGATTCTGCAACTGAGTGGCAAACCCCAATCAGCTGACTCAGTCCATCAAAAGGGAGATTATCTTGGGTGGGCCTGGCCTCATCAGGCAAGCTGTTTAAAAAAGAGGGAGGGTCTGCTCCTGGTCTTGGAGGTGCTCCGCTGTGGGTTCTACAGCTGCAAGGAAACAAAGTCTGCAACAGCTCTGTGAGCTTGGAATAGGGCCCCAGGCCTCAGCTGAGAGGCCGCCCCGGCCCACACCTGGAGAGCTGCCCTGGGAGACCTGAGCAGAGGACCAGCTAGGCCGTGCCTAGACCCCTGACCAACGGGGTCACCGTGACAATAAACGTGGGCTGCTCGAAGCTTCTAAGTCTGTGGTAATTTGTTACATGGCGTAGCTAGCTGATACAGGGGCCAGTCCCATGGGCAGGGAGTGAAGGGGCCAGGGGAGGAGAGGGCAGGTGGCGGGGAGGGTCTCTGGGGCAGGAGGACCCCAGGACCTCGGCTGGGGCTGGGAGAATTCGGGAGGTGGGCAGTGAGGGACGCAGGTGTTGGGAGAGCTGAGGGGCAGCGGGAAGCTTCCAGTGCTGGCGGGAAGGGTGGGTGGGCGCTGGGGACACTGCCCACTGACCTTCCCTCGAGAGGACAGTTGCAATTTGGGCAGCTCTGATCTGCTTTTTTCCTGCTAGTGGCTGTTTTGTTGACTGTTACTCTGTCTAGCCTGAGCCGTGGGCCGGGTTTTATTGGGGTTCTGTCTGTGCAGACAGGACAGATGGCTGTGGTCCCTCCAGATGGCCCTCTGTGAGGTCCTGGGACATGTGGCCCCCCGCCCCACCTGGCCCTGCGCCTGCTTGCTGAGCTCCGTTCTTACAGTGGACGGTCACCTCCAGGGGTTCCTGGAACCGCACACGCCTCGAGGTCCTCTGTGGCTCGGCCCCGTGGCTGCCGCACCCCGGCCTGCTCCGCCTCAGGATGGAGGGGGGGCCCCTCCTGTCGCCCTCCTGGGGCAGGGGTGGGAGGCAGAGGGAAGTGAGCAGAAGTGAGCCCCCAGGGGGCAGGAGACACGGTGCCCGGGCCAGGATCCCCGCTGCCTCCTCTGGGTTTCTGCAGAGGGACGCGCTGTGGGGGACCCGATGGGGGGCGTGGAGACCCCCGTGGACCTGCCCCACCTGCTGCCCCAGCCTGGCGGCCTGACTGCGGGGCTGCTCTGGGTGGTGGGGGCTGGAACAGAGCCATCGGGGCCATCACAATGGATGGCGGTGTTCATGGCCGCCCAGGACCGTGCCCCCCAACCCCGACGGTATCTGTAACAATAATGATGATCCTATCAGTAACTGTGGCTATCCACCTAGGGCCGTCTTCCTGTCCGAGCTGCCCGCACAAAACCTCGCTGGATCCCGGAGCGCGGGGCCCCCAGGGCTCCTCTGCACCCGGGCGCCGGGGAGGAGGCCGGGCCCTGAGCCAGGGCTGTGCGGGGTCAGTGCCTGGCTTGTGTCACATAGTGGGCCTCTGTCACTCACCTGTGGACACGGTGAGGGATCTGAGCATGAGACCTGGGCTGCGGCGGGACAGAGCCTGGACACAGGTGCCCGCCCAGGGGCTGCCCTCCCACCGTGCTGTTTGGAATGTGGAGTTGCGGGACTGCTCTGAGCCTCAGTGTTCCCACCTGTAAACTGGGGACAACAGGCCGTTCTGAGCTGAGTACACCCATTTTGAATGGCTCCTGGCTGGGAGGCTCTGGTCGCACAGAGCTTACTGCTGGCCGTCTGGGGGACATGGGCCCCGCCTAGTCCTGGGGTTGGGCCCAGCTCAGGGCTGTCCCCTCCACTTGGTGGGACGCCTGGGCCTGTGGCCTGCCACCAGCCTGGAAGTGAGTACAGAGGCTAGGTGTGGACTCAGGTCTGAAGTCGGTCCCCACTGCCCTGGCCTGGCCCTCCTCTGTCCACCCTCCCCCACTCACAAGCCCTCCTCCCTGGGCTGCAAAGTGACCATGCTGGGGAAGCATCTGGAGCACCCCCATGGCTCCTGCTTTCTCTGCCTCACCTGCGCTCTCTCCTGGCTCACTTTCCCTGCCCTTGCATGCTGTACCCCTGCCCTCGGCCCTGGCCTTGCACCTTTGGGCATGCCGTGTCCCCTCCAGGGGTCTCCAACCCTCTCTGCCAGACCAAGCCTTTAAAGAGCCACCAACCCCCAACTCCCGACCCCGGTGATTTTCTCTCCCAGGGTTCCTGGGGCCGGGACAGCTCGGGCAAGGACAGGGACCGTGCCTCCTGTCTCAGCTCCCCCTTCCCTGCCCCCGGCGGGGGGCCCAGGTGGCTGACCCTGGTGCACTTGGCCTTGGGATCCCGGGGTTGGCTCTTGTCCAGGACCCAGCCTTACCCTCCCCGCCCTGGGCATCAGCGAGCCCGGAGTGGCCTCTTCATTCTTCCTGGTGTGATGGCGCTTCTCTGGCCGGGAGTTGGGGCTCAAGGCTCGCCCTGCAGTCCTCATTTATTGGAACATGGTCCTAAAAGAAGCAGGGACATTATTTATTGTACGAGCAGCACTGGTAGGAGTAGACGGAGGGGACGTCTGTCTGCCCTGCCCATGAGCAGACGGGGCTTTCCTTCCAGTGCTCCCAGCACAGTGCTCCCTGCACCCTCCCCGGTGGCCAGTGTCCCCCATCGTCAGCCCTCACGGTTGCGCCGTATTCCACGGGGCTGCCGTCGGTAACTTACAACCAGCCTCCGGTACTGGGTGCTCAGGAAGCGTGCGTTTTATTATGTCATGTGCATGTTTTGAGGTCATGTTGGGGGGCCTCCGGGGTGTGAGGGAAGGGGTCCAGGGCCGGGCACGGTTGGGGCTCCATGGGACTGGGAAGGCTGCTCCAGAGGGTCTCCAGCTCCGCGAGGGGCTGGAGCTGGTGGGGCCCGCCCAGACTCTCTTGTCTCCGTGTCTCTGTCCTGCCCTGTCCCAGGTTTAGCCTGCTTACTTTCGAGGCGTAAGGTGGCGCCTCCCCACGTCCACCCGTGAGCCTGTCCTCCCTGACGTGGCCCCTCTTGGTGGGTTCTCATTCGCCTTTGAAGGGTTCCTGACTTCTGAGACCTCCCCCAGTCCTGCTGTGGGCGCAGACCGCGCCAGGCACCATGCAGGTGAAGCCAGGCATTGAGTATTAGTCCTTCCAGGGCCCTGAGGGAGGGGCGGTGATGGGCCCACCCTCTTCAGTGAACATGTGGAGAAATTGAGCCCAGGGCTTCCCCAGCCACTCGGACACCAGGGCAGTCTCTGCCCCTCCCCCTGGATAATGAGAGGCGTTGGGGGTGGCATGGGGGTCACCTGCCCGTCCTCATCCCCAGCCCCAGGCTCCTCCAGGGCTCCCTGGTCTGGGGTCCTTTGCGGACATCCCTGCCCCCTCTGTCCATGGCGAACGTTTGGGTTTTGTGAGGAGCGTCCCTGGCTCTGTCCTCCAAGGATGCCCCCCGCACCCAGCGCTGAGAGTGGGGCTGACGGTGAGGGTCCTCACTGTCCCCTGCATGGTGCCGTCAGGGTCCCCTGAGAGGGTTGAGCAGGGCCTCCGTACAGTCTTCCCCGGGGAGATGACGGGGTGGCTGCGCCCTCAGCCCCGGCGGGCGTCAACAGCAGAGCTGTGCAGAGCCTGGTAATGACAGCCGCGCTCCGCAGCCAGGTGGCTTTAATTATTTCTAAAGGGAGCAGTTTTCTCCTCCTCAGCATCAGGTTTTTACTGCAAATAGAGTCAGGGAAGGAGCCTCGAGCCCAGCGAGGGGGACACGGCAGGGAGGGCGGCTTGCTGGCCTCTCAGGTGAGGAACCGCTCGGGACTGGGGACAGCATCGGGTGTGCACACGTGTGAGCACGAGTGTGCGCGTGTGTGCACGTGAGCGTGGATGCACACGTGTGAGCACGAGCGTGTGTGTGCATGTGAGCGTGGATGCACACGTGTGAGCACGAGCGCATGTGTGCGTGCGAGCATGAGTGTGTGCATGTGAGCGTGGATGCACACGTGTGAGCACGAGCGTGTGTGTGTGCATGTGAGCGTGGATGCACACGTGTGAGCACGAGAGCATGTGAGTGTGTGCATGTAAGCGTGGATGCACACATGTGAGCACGAGCGTGTGTGTGCGTGCCAGCATGAGTGTATGCATGTGAGCGTGGATGCACACGTGTGAGCACGAGCACGTGTGTGCGTGCGAGCATGAGTGTGTGCATGTGAGCGTGGATGCACACGTGTGAGCACGAGCACGTGTGTGTGCATGTGAGCGTGGATGCACACGTGTGAGCACGAAGTGTGTGTGTGCACGTGAGCGTGGATGCACACGTGTGAGCATGAGTGTGCGTGTGTGTGCCTGTGAGCGTGTGTCCATGTGCATATATGTGCGAGCATGTCTGTGTGTGCCTGCGTGTATGTGTGAGGGCGGCTGCACATACACCTTAGTGTGCGTGTCCATGCGTGTGCACGCACATGCGAGTATGCATGGCTATTTGTGCATATGGGCATGAGTGTGCTCATGCACGTGGAGCACCTGTGAGTGTGAGTGGGGGGTGTGATCGCACCAGCATGTGGGTGCATGCCATGTGCGTGAGTGTGTCTGAGTGTAAATGTGCCTCTGTGTGTATGTGTGTGTGTGTTCGTGTGTGTCTCCGTGGCTCTGGTGCGGGCAGCCCAGTGGGTCCCACCAGCTCCAGCAGGGACCCTGTGTGACCATGCATGACCGTGGACAGGCCTCTAAGCTCTGTGTGCCTCAGTCTACTCAGCTGAAAATAGGGATCCCGGTGGCAACGTCCTCCGTGGGCTCGGTGAGGGCAAGCACGGCCATGTGTGTCAGGGGCTCAGAGGGAGCCCGGGACAGTCGCTCAGGGGAAGAGTGGCCTTGCTCGGGCAGAGAGCCTGGGGCCCCTGTGCCCGTGTGAGGACGGTGCCCTCCCCCCAGGCGGCTCTCGGGAGCCCCAGGCCTTCTCTGGCCATGTGCCTTTGCCTGGGTCCTCGTCTGCTGCCGGGTGGTCTCCATCCACCTCCCCACCACCCCACCTCCCCTCTACCTACCGTCCCTGCCCCACCTGCCTTTGCCCCATCTCTGCATCTTGCTCAGGCTCCAGCTTCCCCTTAAATGTCATTTCCTCTGAGAGGAAGTGGGGGCCTTTGCCTACCCCCAGGACTGGCTTGAGTCCTGGGCTCTGTCTCCCTATGGCTCAGCGTCTTTCTCAACAGCATGACTGTCCTGGGCCTCAGTCTCCCCACCCGTCGCACAGGAGGAGGCGAGGATGGCTCTTGGTACCGCCCCCGGCTCCTCCACAGCCCCCCTCCAGCCGCCGGGCAGTGCCCCCCTCCACCCCCCGGCCCGCTGGCCGAGGGCAGGACCCCGCATGGGAGCGGGGAGGCCTCGGGGCCTCCAGCAGCAACAGAGTGTAACAGGAGTGCCCTCCACTCGGAGGCTGCTTGTGACAGATGGGTGATAAAGGGCGGAAAATAGCTCAGGCCTGGGGCCTGCGGAATGTCACCACCACCCCCCCACCCGTGGAGGACACGCCCCAAGGGCAGGGCTTCTCGGTCAACAGCCTCTCACCTCTGTTGAGGGGACACCCTCTTCCCCTGGGGGTAGGGACACTGGTCGCTGCAGCCCGAGCCTGCCCAGCCTTGTCTCTGGGTGGGGGCCTGCCTGGCTGGGCCTGCCGGTCAGAGGGGGGCCAAGGCAGCCTGAGGCGCAGGGCTGCCCCAGGCCTCCCCAGAGCTCCTGCTCCAGGCGTGGTGGGTCAGGAGTGCCGAGCGGGGAGCCTCAGGCTCTCCTGCCCTCCTTCCTAGGAGCGCAGGCCGACCAAGGCCGTGCGTCCACAAGAGCCCTGACCATCTATGGGGTTTGGCCCACGGAGGCTGAGCCTCTGCAGCCCAGCTTGGCAGCCCAGCACCCCCCCACGGCCCCCCCCAGCTCCAGCTCCCGCCCGGCTCACCGCCTCCGACAGCCGGGCCACCTGTCCTGCCATCGCTCTCACCTCCACCCGGGCCAGGCTGGCCACGCCTCTGTGTCCCGCTCACCCCGATGCCCACGCTCGTGCCACCGGCCACCCACTGCCTGCTGGTACGTCTCCATCCTCGCCAGGGGTCCCTCTGAGACCCCCACATAGTGCAGCCCTGCACGGGGAGGGGGCCCTCCTCAGCTGTGACCATGGGGCCGACAGCCAGTTCGCACCCACACCGCTCCCCGTCACCCCTCACATCCTGCACTGTGCCTGTTCGTCCACAGGACCCCAGGGCTCGGGGGATGGAGGAGCTTGCCGGCAGTCCTGCAGCCCTGGGGAGGCTGAGCGTCTCCTCCTGACCCGGCACGTCTGGAGCCTGATCGAGCAGAGCCACCGCCCGGGGTCGTCCTGCCCACCTGTCCTGGTGACAGCTCCTCCAGGGGCCGCCGGGCTGGCGCAGGTGGGCGAGCCACGTTGGGACCTTGCCCTGCAGAGGCTGGAGCTGTGAGCCCCACCGTTCACACACCACACACGGGCACAGCCCCCCCAGCCCCCCCGACCCGTGCGTGCACGTGCACACACACACACACACACGCGCCGCCCCGGCCCACCTGGCTCCTGCAGGTGCTGCACCCCTGGGTGAACTCGCCCACCTGTCCGGCCCCCAGTGCGCTGGCGATCGGAGCCTTGAGCAGAGTGGGAACCGGAGCTGCCGCAGCTCACAGGCCAGCTGAGAAGTTTCCATTACAACGGTGGGGCAGTGGCCTCTGGACAGCCTGGCCGTGGAGGAAGCTGTCACCACGGGGCTTGGTGGCCTTGGGTGGTGTTTGCCCTCCCCCTCCCCTGAGCAGCTTGTCTGAATTAAGTTGGGGGCACTGCTGAGGCCACAGGACACACGCTACACCTTCTTCCAGCTGAAGAAGGGGACAGGAGGCCATGGACACACCCACGCCGGCCTCCCCTCAGGAGGCTGGGGGGCGGAGTGAGGGCCAGTGGGCAGGGGTCCCCAGGAAGGGCCGGCTGCCCACAGCCCAGCACTCACAGTCCGGAGCAGGCTGGCAGCTCCCCAGATGACACACATTTCTGACTTAAGCAAGAGGAGAACCCCTGGGGGCCACCTCCTGGCTGACAGCTGGCTCATTGGGCTTGCCCAGGCACCTGCCTGGAGCTGGGGGCACAGGGACCAGGAGCTGTCCTGCCGTCTCCGAAGACAGCCCCCCACATCTCTGCACAGAGGGCAACAGCAGGTCAGGGTGATGGCTGCCTGTCTGCTGGGTGCGGGGGGTACTCTAGAATGGGGGATCTTGGCCTTGAGAGCCCCAGGCAGAAGGGAGCGGGTAGACCCTGGCCTAGACCTTGGCCACAGGGAGACCCAGGTGGGCCACTCACCCCGAATTCCGGGCCCCCATGTAGAGCGGAGGTCTATGCCAACCATCTAGCATGCCGTAAAGATGGAGATAATGCACTAACCTTCCTGGAGGGGCCTGCACGCAGTAGGTGCCCAATACATGGTGTGCTCTGAGTTGGAGGGGTGACCCA